ACACACACACACACCACAAACACACACACACATACACAAACAGACCTGCTAGCCAGGACGATATTCTGATCCTTCTGACGTCAGCAAACAGGTCAAGCTCCTTGACGTAATGTTCCCGGTCTCTCTCGTAGTTCTCGAACAGGTCCGTGATCTTTTCCTGCGGCCGGACACATAGAGGGGTTCACAAAGATCTACGTCGTCATTATACGTCTACGTTACCATTGGCCAGAAAAAACAGAGACTGTGATAGTACCGATTTGGAAAGAGAAAGGAAACAAACGAGACTGGAACCTACTGAGGAATATCTCTTGTCAGCCATGTGGGTAAAATGTTCTGCCAAGATACTGGAAAAGAGAATGAGACCAATTGTAGAGACTTAACTCAGTGAATCTCAGTTTCGCTTCAGAAAAGGAAGGGGCTGTACTGACCCTATTTTTGCATTAAGGCAGTTGTGTGAGACTGCCATTGCAAATGACGAAGACTTCAATATCATCTTCGTGGATCAGGAAAAGGCGTTCGACTGAGTAATAAGATGCCAACTTTGGGAAGTCTTAGAGGAATATGGCCTAACAGGACAATTGCTGGAGAACATCATGGCACTCTATAAAAACAGCCTGTGTGCAGTAAGATCAACAGAAGGACTCTTGGGCTGGTTCCCCATCAGGTCTGGGGTGAGACAAGGGTGTGTTCTCTCTCCGCTTCTCTTCATTGCTTACATGGATAAGATCACGAAAGCAGCAAATGACATTACTTAACTGAACGAGTTTCTATTTGCTGATGACCAGAGTATATTAAATACAGATGAAGAGGAGTTACAAAAACACACCAAAAAACTAAATGAGGAACGTTAACACCTGAATCTCCATCTCAAAAACAGAAGTTATGAAGGTCAGCAAAAACCCAGGGGAAACTCAACAACCATATTGACGGAACACAGCTCCAACAAGTAGAGGAATTTAAATATTTGGGAAGCATCTTCACACAAGATGGGCGTATGGACAAAGAAATAGAAACAAGAACTGTGAAGGCAAATGAAATGACCTAGATCTACCAGCTAGCACCCCCTGCTCAGTCAAAAGAACATCCCTACCGAAGTGAAATCCCAGCTCATCAATAGCATCTTAATACCAACATTAACATACCAGTGCCAAACATTGGTCTCTAAACGAGGCACAAGAAAGGTGTTCTTTCGTCATAATTTGTGCTCTTCTACGTCACTATGTGTGTTCTGCGCCATCAATGATATCCTATGTTACAGTGATATCCTATGTTATCAGTCGGATTCTACGTCACCATTGATATTCTATGTCATCATTGATGTTTTACGTCATTAATGGTATTCCACGTCATTATAGTGGTGTTCTACACCAAATATGCTCTCTCTCTCTCTCTCTCTCTCTCTCTCTCTCTCTCTCTCTCTCTCTCTCTCTAG